AGGCGACTCACCGGAGAAGATGGAGGCGACTCACCGGAGAAGATGGAGGCGACTCACCGGAGAAGATGGAGGCGATAGTTGGGGGAGACGATGGGAGCGGCCAAAGTGGAAGGGTAAAGAGGGAATAAAAAGTAATTTGAATGGTTTAGTGAACTTCTACCCTCAAAATGGTTAAGAGGCTTGTGTAACCATTAAGAGGGCTTTTTTTTTGCCAAACATGTTTTACATCTGACCGATTAAGAGGAGACCTCTTAATGTCACCATTAAGAGGAATCCAAACAGCCCCTACGTCTCTCTCGTTATTATGATGCGATTTTACGTGGTATCGAAAAAACGATAATATTTTTATTTTTAAATAAAATATAAATTTAAAGGTATCAAAAAAATTTGAAAAAAATACATCAATTTTTATATCTATACTACTTTATAAAGCAAATTTGTCTAAAGTCTTAAAAACACCTTCTCATGCATAAGGTACTACCATTTAATGTAGAAAGTCTTAAAGTCTTAAAAATGTACAACTTTTTTAAGCATAAGGTACTACCCTTTAATGCAGAAACACCTTCACACATCAGGCTGCCTCTAAACCCTAAACCACTCCAAACGACTCTCTTCTTCCCAACACAACTCTGCCCAACTCTTCTCTTCCCAACACAACTCTGCCTCTAAACCCTAAACCACTCGCACGCTCTCCACAAAACTTGTCAATGCTTTCACTCACTCACCTTCCCAAGAATGGTTGTACGTTTCCTCCTATCACTCTCCTTCCCAAGATTGGCTGCACATTCCCTCGTCACTTCCACCTGTGGATTTGTATTTTCAAGATTGTTTTATCCCGCTTAATACACGTTTTCGGCTTCCAATTGATTCAATTGACTGATTTCAAAATTTGAAGTCGTCCATTTCTCTCCATTCATGATGCTGACTACTGTTGGATTCAAAAGAAATCTCTAATATGGTTATGAAATTGTTTCATGAAATTGTTTAATCTTGTGAAATTGTTTCATATAATACTTTTTTGATGGATTTGTTTCATATATGGTTATGAAATTGTTTCATATAATATTTAATGAAATTTTAATGAAATTGTTTCATATATTTATCTAAAATTAAAATAATGAAGATGATAATATCAATTATTAATACCCTCCACAATAAAAATGGTTAATCAATCTCTCATAATTACAAAAAAATGAACAAAATTAAAAATTATGATTGATTTAATGAGATATTTACAAATTAAGTGGTTTTATCTGAACGCTCATATATATATATATATATATATAATAATATCAACATAAAAAGAGTAAGTTACAATTTGATCTCTGTAATTAAACAAGATTGTATAACTTCTCACTTGTAAAAGTAAAGAGACAAAAATACCTCTAACTTAACAAAAAAAAGTTAATCGAGTTAAGTCGAGGGACTACTTTCAAAGCAAAATGTGAACAGTAGAGACGATAATTGCAGTTATTAAAACCTAGGGACTATTTTTGGTGATTTGTGTAAACTACAAGGACTAAAATTATAGTTTACTCTTTAAAAAATAGTTCAAAACTTAAATCATTTTAACTTCTTGGTTTTTGAAACTTTACCATTTCGACTATTTATTTGGGACGCAAACGCAAGAGTATGTTTTAACAAATATAATGATTATTATGAATAAAAAAAAGGGAAAAATACAATACAAACCAATGGACTTTTTTGTTTGAAATGATTAAGTCATTAGACTTTTTTTTGGAACAAATAAGTCCTTCGACATTCTAAAACATGTTAAATAAGTCCTTGGACAATTTTTTGGAACAAACTTGGACATTCCAAAATATGTTAAATAAGTCATTGGACAATTTTTGGAACAAATAAGTCCTTGGACATTCCAAAATATGTTAATAAGTCCTTGGACAATTTTTGGAACAAATAAGTCCTTGGACATTCCAAAAAATGTTAAATAAGTCATTAGACAATTTTTGGAACAAATAAGTCCTTGAACAATCCAAAACATGTTAAATAACTTCTTGAACTTTTATAAAACATGTTGGATACATTCTTATGACTTCTACAACTAGTTAAAGTGGTAAAATAGTGAAAAAAAATCCGGAAAAAAACCCAATAAACATTCATATTTTGAACGATTAAACTCCTAAATATTTTTTGAACCAAAAAGTATTTAGATCTATAAAATTAAACAAATATAACAAAAAAGTACTTACATTTACAAAAATATATTATTAAAAACCCAATGAACATTCATATTGTGAACGATTAAAATATATTCTGTCAGTGATTTTTCAAAAAAAAAAATAATTATTAAATTTATTTTAATTAAATATATATATATATATATATATATCATGTATGTGATTTTTTAAATTAAAAAAGATTTAAAAAGATTACTGGTGAAATTTATTTTAATTAAAAATAATATATTTTATAATTTTTTTATTTTTTTAGTTTAAAAAATCACTGACAAAATATATTTCCGGATTTTTTTTCACTATTTTACCACTTTATCGTTCAAAATATGAATGTTTATTGGGGTTTTTTTCGGGACATAACTAGTTATTATGTGATCTTGGAGTGAGAATTTTAGCAAAGTTATTCAAGACATAACTAGTTATTATGTGATCTTGGAGGGATTCTTCATGGTGGAAAATGTCAGGAAGGCTATTAAGATTGATGAGCATGTAATGGACAGCCTCACAACGTCCATGGTTGATGATGTGTTTTATGTTCTATAGAGTTGTTGTCGTAGGTCGATATCCACTTCCAACATTAATTCTGTTATTGTTGCATTGAGCAGTGCTGTAAGTTTGCTGGGTGGTGAGTATAATGAYGCTTTGCAGCAGAAAATGAGGGAGCCCAACCTTGGAGGAAAGCTGTTCTTGGGTGGTGTTGGAGTGCAGAAGGCAGGAATCGATATTGCTACTGCCTTGAATAACATGGATGTGAGCATTGAGTATGCCCTGAAACTACGACATGAGATTGAAGAGCAATGTGCTGAGGTGAGTGCTCATCATCTAAACCCACATGTTCACCACTATGTTGTGTTTTCTCTTATTTCCTAAAAGTGCTCATATTATCACTCTTGAAGAATTAAAGGTTGGTTTTGTTCCCTTCAAGAAAACCCTTCAACCCACTGAATAAAGGATATTTGAAAGAAACTAATTTTTTCAAGCAACAATGACAATTACGTTTGTTGCTTGTTGCCTTATGTCATTGTCTACCTTTTCAAGTCGGGATTTGTCACGTAGACACCCAACGTACATTTATGGGGCAAGTGGCAAGCATTCTCTAATAAAGGATCCACAAATATCTTATGTGACACCCCTCATTTAATCATTATCTGGCATGGGAAATGGGAAGGAGTATTAGTTGACAACAAATTGTAATACTCATGGTTTGTGCATAATACGTAGTCACATTAAACATAATATTATTCAGTACAAGTTCACAAATATCACAAACGGAATATATAGGCGTGTAGCTACTTATTTTAATTCCCCTTATCAGTCATGCACCTGTCTTGTGACCTAGGTGGGAACACATAATGTATAAGCGATGAAGCTCGACAAGTAACCATGCACTAGGGTAAAATTAAGTGTGATAAGAGTGGTTGGGCAATATTGACGGTGCATTGGACATATCCTCTAAGTCTGAGGGTCTAATTCTCAAATCTCAGACTGTTGACATATCCTCTTATCTTACGAAGCTAAACTTAGTTGACTCAGGTCTTTTCTAAGTATGGTACTCTACCAAGGCTGTCAATATACATGAGGGCTTCAACCACATCTTTAATCTCACGTCACTCGAGCTTTTGGGAAGCCCATGGCTTGAGCCCATCCACGAGGATGAGTATAGAATCTAAAGCATCAGGTACAAGAACTTATTAGCATGGTCCTATATAGAACATTCATGATTCAAATCCTTAGACTGCCATCTCATTTGATAAGTGAGTTTAGAAATGTAGAATTGCTCCATGAGTTTTTCCTTGAAAGCACCTCATAGATCTATGGTTATTGTGATGCTTTGTGTGTCTTCACACAAGCAACATTTATGAGGTAAAGAGTAGCAATCTATACCTTTACTAGCACCTAAAGTTTAATGTTCCAAAGTAGGGTGTGCGCGTCAAGAAAACAAATCTCCATGGCCAAGAAAACATCACGAGACTTAATGCAGTTAGCTCCCTTCTTATGGAATGGACAAAGATCTCCCTAGCCATTTCATGTGGCCTTAACATCAACACCATCCCACTTGAGATAATAAGCCTTGTACGGAAGTGATAAATAAGCTACTAAAAACCAGATATAGTTTGACAGAAACTCAAGAGACTTCTTTTAACACTCGAGTGATCACTTATTTCATGCTTATGCAGAGCTCTCCTCGTTTTGTATGAGGTTCCATCCTCTCAAGAAAAGTTCTAGTTCCAAGAAGGTTATGGATTCCTTGCAAAGCCTAAGTGCCTAACTATTACAAGAATCAAGAGAATTCTAGAATGTTACAAGATAAAAGAAAATGTAATATATCTTGGTAAACTGTAGACCATCATAGAGCCACTCAGGCTTTCTAGAGTGTGATAACCTATTTATACATAAATATGTTTCTTTTAAACCACAAGGGTGGTGCCTGATTGGTTTGAGCTTGGCTTCAAAGGTCAAAAGTGTCAGGAGGTCCCAGGTTCAAATCCAAGAAGGAACAAAAATCCCCTTGTGGCCACGGAGGTTCAAATGCGATGACTCCGGGCTACGTGCAAAGTAGGTGGTTACCCTGGGATTAGTCGGCTCGCATAGCGGGTTGGATATCCAGGTTAATAAAAAAAATGTTTCTTTTATACACTCAAAAAAAATTATGGGTATGCAAATATACACTTCATTTCATTAGAACGAGTGGATAAGCATACTTTGTGCAATATAGACTAAGTATGTTTGACCTAAATGATTAGGGCAAGGCTAATGAAGTTGGAGGTATTAAAAGATTGAATAAACGAAGAGTACTATGATTAAGCTAAAGGTACAAAGTGAGTGTATGTCGCATTGAAGTTAAAGTCAACCAGACAATGAAAATGGTGCATCTAAAATGGTTGAGGGGGATTGCACAAAGCTCTTTAAAGCAATAATGATGGAAGTCACCAGAACATCTGCTAAATAGCAGCTGTTTGATCAAAAGTTTTATGTGCAGGGATGTTAAAACAACAGAATCCTGATAAATCTACCATAAACTAAGTTGTTTGAATGAAGACAAGGATGCCCCAAGTCAAACAAGAGGGTCAAAAGTCAACCATGGCATAAGGAGTTGGTTGAGGAAAAAGAAGCAAGTGCTGGAGAAACAATGCCATGAAAGAACAAAAGATTAATAAGACAATTGTTGAAACAAAAACCTTCAAGTCAAACAAAAAATTCCAGATAAAAATATGAGGCCAGGCTAGTGGTAAAAGAAGACAAATATGTTTGATTGAGTAAAAGGAATTCTAGGTTTATGAATCCTTGCAGGGTATATACAGGCCCAAGAGAAGGGGATGGGAAGCCCCCTCACCCTCCAACTTTGATGTTATGACCCTTAGTATAAACAAGAAAGCCCTTACTTTGCACCTGAAAACTAAGAAAACTAGAGCAAATAAAATGAGATTGAATTGAAATACTGAAAGAAGTGTTAAGAGCTTTTTGACTTCCAAGCTTCTAATAAGGGTACTCAGCTCATCTATCAGATGTCAAGTATTTGAAAGAAAGCATATGAGAAATTATTTTGTAGACACCCACCTCAGGGTGAGAAATTGGTTTCGGAAAAATGAGTAAATGGCTTACATAAATAAGTTTTCTAAACTCTAGATTGTTTACTCTAAGACCTTTACAAGATCAAAGGAGAATTAACCAAAAGAAGTTCAAGTTACAAATCCCTTTTACACAAAACTTCTACGTGCTTGGCTGCTTGCATATGACAATAGGACGACACATCCATCCTTAGCTTCACCTACTTTGTTGTGTTTGAACTATAGTTGTTCCAGTTTGAGCCTTGCTTTCATTTCTCTTTGTTGGATCAATCATATGGCAGTTTATTCATAACTGCTTATTGTATGAACTTCTTGATGTAAGTTGTTGAGGTCCCATAGCCTTTATGATAATATTAAGCTAGAAAATCTGAGCATGGCACAAACTTGTTCTTATCATAATCTTTAATGCATGCATGACAAAAGGATATGAAAACATATATAATTGGTTGCCTATGTAGCACCAATAGAGAACTACTATACCATGATATAAGAGTATAAGGTGAAACCTTTTGAGATGACATCAAATGAACTTTCTACGTGATTTTGTCCAAGTAGAAGTAAATACAGATGAGTTGAGTTCAGAAGGACAAGTATGATCTCATGAGTAAAAATCTTGATAAACACTAGTTTGTATTTGAAGATATCCATGTTCACTTGTGACTAATAAGAACTATGGAGTTATGAGTCCATATTATTACTTCATAATGCATTCTCATTTCCATTGGTTATTTCATTGCTTTTATATTATTCTTTCACCGTCAATATTGACTTAGAGGGTGTTTGGGATTGCTTATTTGAAACAACCTATGTTTTTCTATAAAAACACTTATCAACTTATTATAAGTCAGAAGGGTTTAACTTTTTCAAAAGCTTCTTATTACCGGTATAAGTTGTTTATTCAAACACTTAGAAGTGTTTATTATCGGCGCCACACCAGAATAAGTTGATAAGTTATTTTTATAAGCAATCCCAAACACCCCCTTATAATAAGTTGATAAGTGCTTTTGTAGAAAATAATAAGTTGTTTCAAATAAACAATCTCAAACACCCCCTAAAACTAAAAAATTACTAATCTATTTTTATTTGATATAGTTTTAATAAGATATTTGATTTAATAATCGCTTCCACCCACCATCAATCGTCTTATTTTTAGTTTCGTATTGTCTGTTTTTTTTACATACCAAACACATTATATAACTTATTAAATAGCGAAAAAGGCCAAAATTATGTAAGTCTGTTGTAAATTTAAAAACTTTTATGGTAAAAAAATCTAATATATAAAAAGTAGTGACGATCATCAAAACTGTCGACAAGGTTTATAACTTATGTTGTGTATTCATATTTTTATGGTGCGGTTATAATTTTTAATTACAAAATCGTATTGCAGTTTATGTTATAGATACTATATTATAAAATATTTGACAAAAACTCTTAAAAACTATTTTTTATGCATGAGCTACTGTTTGTTGATGTATATTACTTAAAATTTAAGATTACAAGTAATTTTGCGTAAATAATTACTAAAATTCCATTTTTAAATTCGTGTAACCAACTACAAATATACATAATAAAATATATGATAAACATCCATTTTAAATATAGAAAATCTAAAATATAATTAAGATAATTATTGAGTTTTAACATAATATTTAATTATTATATTTATAAAAAATTATATTATTAAACTAAAAATAAATTATTTTGTTATTAAATCTAAATTAAATTATAATAAAAAATTGAATTAAAAACGTTACATAAAAAACGATATCTATTAAATAGTTAATTTGATACTAATATCGATTTACTTTTTTCAAAGTTATATTTCATTCAAAAATATAAACATTATTACTTTATAAAAATCATATAAAATCGTATCATATCGATATAGACAAAATAAAAACTAATCATATAAATAAAGATTTATCTCGTTACATTACGTAAACACCCTTCTAATAATCATTTAATATATTGAAAATATTACTAATTATTTATTAATATTCCAAATTTTCTTTTAAGTTTTACCCTTCATGAGTATTTATGCTTGTGCTCAATAATACCTTATCTTATTATAAAAAATAAAATTAAAGAAATTATATAAAAATAACAACTTTTAAATATTTAATTTAATATAAAAATCGATATATATATTTTTAAAATTTTATAATATTTTTAAATTTATATTTTATTTAAAAATAAATACATTATAAATTTTTTGATACCACATAAAATTATATTATAATATCAATAAAAATAAAAATAAAAACAAAATAAAATAAAATATTAAAATCCAAATGTATGTGATTGCATTTCAAGAATACCCATCTAATTAGTAATTAATTTTCAAAATCTGGAATCTTGCGTAACCGAAGCTATAATAAACTGCAGCTGCACAGCACAGGCAGCCTTTCCAAACTTCACACAACTTTGGCCCACCGCCGCATTATCTATGGGGAAAGCAGGTAAGTCGCCGGCGACGTCGTCGGTGTTCGAGAGAGTTCTACGCCGCCGGGTACATGAAACCTTCGGCAACGCCACTCCATCCTTCGACGAAATCGTCGACCGCCTCCGTGCCACTTTTCCCGAATACGGTCGCCACAAGCTCCAACCTTTCACCAGAATGGTGAAACAAGCCCTAGATTCCAGCAACAGCAAAGAGAAGAAGAAATCAAGAAGAAACGATGACGATGACCGTCGATCTATATTCAACGATGACGATGACGGCACGTCACCGTCGCTACGCAGTCCCGCGAGCAAAAAGGCGAAGAAGATTGATAGCAGAGAGCAGCGATTGCAGATGTTGGAGATGAAGCATGTTGCACGGAGACGAATTAAGCTACAATCAACCTCTGAGTCTTCGGATTCGTCTTCTTCTGATGTAGAAGAAGATAGAAGTGCCGTTTCGACCTCCGATAATGAGGTTTATAGCCTGCAATTTGAACCAGAGTTTGACTTAACGAAATCGATGCTCAGAAACAAGTACAGCGGGTCAAAAATTGATGGAAAAGTCGATGAAAAACGTAAAAATGTGGAGTTAGAGGTGGTTACCAATAGCAACAATAAGGTAAATACAAAAGTTGATTTGATGAAGGAAGATAGAAGGGTTAAGCCAGTGGTAAAAGCTAAGGCACAGAAACAGAAAAACTTGTCAAATGATGATGGTGTTGATGACAACGGGAAAGACGATGGGCCGAGGTTTAAGGACCTGGGTGGTATGGATGTAGTCTTGGATGAGTTGAAGATGGAGGTGATTGTTCCTTTATATCATCCACAGCTACCACGAAGCCTCGGAGTTAGGCCGATGGCTGGTATTTTGTTACACGGGCCGCCTGGGTGTGGGAAGACTAAACTGGCTCATGCCATTGCTAATGAGACTGGAGTTCCATTTTATAAGATTTCTGCCACTGAGTTGGTCTCTGGTATATCAGGTAGCTTATATTATCTTTACTCAAATTATACTTTCGTTTGATTGCATCTCTATTGCAAAACGGGATATTAGCTTTTGGTTACAGCATCTGAAATCCCCATATGCACATCCCAGTAATTCTAGAGTTGAGTTATTGATTTGCTAAGCACGCAATCTTACATCATTTTGTTGTTTTCAGCTATGGTCACTTTCAGATAGCTTCAATATAGAGAATTTAAGTCTGTTGACGATGGTGACATTGAGGTTTTTAGTGTATCTCTAACTCTGCACAGAGTTTACAAATTAGTCCCTTCATATTGGGGGATTAGTGAGGTAATGTTTATTACTATATACAAGAAAGTTCGGTTTTGAGGGTTCCTTATAGGTAAGGTATAGCTAGGCCATTACGTTTTGACATAACATAATGAGGTTTGCCTTATATTCTCGTTATGACAAAAAATTGTTCATTTACTATGAAGTTTGATCATGTTCGCAAATGCGGTGTGTGATAAGCGTCTTAGATAGCCTCTTCATTTTTGAGAAAAAGCCGCTAACAATAACCTAATTTAAAGGGTTGTGATCATTTTGGGGTCATGGTGTTTCTGGTTTGTTTTTGTAAGTTATGGATAAGTTTAAGTTTCACACAATTTGTTATCATGTTAAAGCAATTCTGCAAAGGATTGTTTTAATGGGTGAATTAGTTGGAGAACTCATTTGTTTTTGTCAACATGTACATTTAATCTTATGTTCATACTATAAGGATCATATCAACTATATGTTTAGGTAACTACAATAATCTGTAATCCTTCCACAATAATTATTTTAACTGATATATATATATTATCTGAAACTCAAGTATGAAAGAAAGTCATGTAAGCACATGGGCAAAGATTCAACTTATGGCACAAACGTTCCCATATGAGGTGTGAAAATTAATGAAAAAGAGGGGTGGGGGGTCAAATATGAGTTCAGAGATTTAGGAATGAATTGTGGAATCTCAAAGGTGACACGTCCTTTGCTCTTTGCCCAATCATTTGAAGTACTAAGTTGATATATAATGGATGGCCTTAGCTTCATACACTATTCTCATCTAAACATCCCTAAACAAAATTCAGAAGTACTCAGTTAAAAACTTAGCCCATTAATAAACCACTTTACTATAGTGCAATGACAATTGAAAGGGCTTTGAAATGGCCTTGTCATAGTTGAGAAATTGTGAAGCACTAGGTAATCATTTCATGCGAGTGTTGTAATCTACCATCTTCAAATCACCACACGTCCTTTCGAACAAATTAACCTGAACCATTGTTGTCTTAAAAAGTGTTTCGTTGTCCCCACAAGGTATAGAATGAGGTTTAGCTATGTATTTATTTTCTAGGCTGGTTGGAGCTGGATATCATGTTTTGCAAGGCGAGAACATAGGTGACCAAGGTGGTATTTCTGTCTTGGGGTTATAGGGATAAAGTTGCTAGCTATCCGGTGCTTGCATTTATTTGAATCTGAAAGTCATAAACTCTGCTGCTTGTATGATTTAAACTTGCATTTGCTGATGCATCTTAAGTAATTGTCTCTCTCTCTCGCTCTCTCTCTCTCTCTCTATATATATATATATATTTGTTCTATCATGTTGATGTTCCATAATCTTTAATGGGTTTCCCCTCTCATTGAGTTCATACTCAGTTCAGAAGTTCACACTCTATTGCAAGAATTTCAGGTGCATCAGAAGAGAATATACGAGAGTTGTTTTCTAAAGCATACAGAACTGCACCGTCTATAGTTTTCATTGATGAGATTGATGCAATTGCTTCAAAAAGAGAGAACCTTCAAAGGGAGATGGAACGGCGCATTGTGACACAACTGATGACTTGTATGGATGAATCTCACAGAATTGCTAAACCAGATGATACGCCAAAAAATGCAAAGACATCTGATGGCAAACCGGGATATGTCTTGGTTATAGGCGCTACTAATAGACCTGATGCTGTTGATCCGGCATTAAGAAGGCCCGGACGTTTTGACCGAGAGATTACTTTAGGTGTTCCAGATGAAAATGCTAGAGTGCAGATTCTTTCGGTGCTTACACGCAATTTGAAGCTTGAAGGTGCTTTTGATCTTGTCAGAATTTCTAGGGCCACTCCAGGATTTGTCGGAGCTGATTTAGCGGCATTGGTGAACAAAGCTGGTAACCTTGCTATGAAGAGAATCATCGATGGAAGGAAGCTAGAGCTTTCTAGAGAAAGTACAGACACAGAACCAAATGAAGATTGGTGGAGGAAGGAATGGACTTCTGAAGAGATGGAAAAGCTTAGCATCACAATGTATGATTTTGAGGTAATGTAAATTCAACTCTATAATTGCCATGCCAATCTTTGTGGAACGCTATGTTTTACCTCATACTTTGCAACAAGGAAATATGTTGTTCCGAAATAGTTGGAGTTGGCTAAATAAATTGGAAAAAATTAAAGAACAACCAACGCTAACATAAAAAGGAGAACCTTTTAAGGTTCAGGGAAATGAATGGCGCCCGCCCTTATATGTGAGGCTAACCCTTTGACAAACTCTACTGATGCAAATTTAGTTAACTGCTTTTGTGCATATCAATTTTTGTTGATATCTAACTCGCTTAATGCCATCCTTGGTACAAGCGTCTCTTCTATCCTAAGCATTCAAAGGTCTATGTTTGGAGATGATCAACCAACTGTTTTAAAAAGCGCCACAAAACGTTTATGAGGCGCCACCTCTAACAGATCAGATTGTACGTGCGCCTTGATGGGTGAGGTGGTGGGCCGATGGGCCGGTCCAGTTTTTATAAACATACTATTTTACTATGGAAACCGAATCGACATCTTATTCTTCTGCTTATATCAATTCAATACCAAACCAGTAAATTATTAAGTTTTTTGCTTCTATTGCTTCTCTCCAAGACTGCAACGAACAGTCAACCATTGCTTCTTTGCTCTTCTCTCCAACGATTTCTCTGTTTCTTACGTATATATATACAAGCTGTTTTCAGGTATAATCTGTTTATATATATATATATATATATATATTCTGTTTTTATGTACATATGTGTTATATATATTCTGTCTTTTTGTAAATTATGTATAATCTGTTTTTATATGTGTGTGTGTGTGTATATATATATTCTGATTTATGTACATATTCTTATATTTAATATATAAATTTTGTACATAATTGGTTCTATACATATATATATATATATATATGTGTGTGTGTGTGTGTGTGTGTGTGCGCGAGTGTGTAAATATCCTGAATCATGGGCCTTATAGTTTGTTTATAATGTATGGAAATATGAAATTATGCTTTTCTGTCAAGTGTTACAGATTTATAATTTTGTTCTATTTTTTGGGGCTTACGCCTCGACCACCTCGAGGCTTACACCCATGTACCTAAGAGGAAAACACCCCGAGGCTCGTTTCCATTCTTTAAAACCTTATTATGATTGGTGTTAATCAGCTTCTCCTCAGCTGGTGTATACAAATGCTCTATTGCCATGATCAATAGAGTCATCATGCTACTTCACCTACAACCTGCTTCTACGTACAAACCTTTAATGATTTTTATCTTATTTTTAGGTTACATTATCTGAGTGGTTTTCAGAACTCTGTTCTAGTGTATCAATGTTTCTGTAGTGTCTGCCTTATCAGAAATCTGCTTACTCGTATATGTGGAGATAACAAACTTCATTTTTAGATGGTTTTTTAAGAAAAATTAATTTGGTACCTCTGTATTTAAAACTGGAAATTTATAATCAATAGTCTTCTGTTACAAGTCAAGTTATTAACTACTGTTTACTTGTTATTAGATTGGTTTAATTGCTGCTGCCAATGTTTTTTTTTTAATTATGTGCAGGTAGCAACCAAATTGGTTCAACCCTCTTCTAGAAGAGAAGGATTCTCTAGCATCCCAAATGTCAAATGGGAAGATGTTGGAGGTCTTGATTTATTGAGAAGGGAGTTCGACCGTTACATAGTTAGGCGTATAAAATATCCTGATGAGTATGAGGTAAATGTTTGTCACTAATGTCATTTTAATTGCGTTTGTCATACTATTAACAGTATACATTTACCCCTCTCTGAGTGTGGATGATTTGATTTAGGTAGTCAAGAGCTATGTGGGTGGGTGGGTGGGTGGGGGGGTCCTTGCTGGCCATTTAACATCTGCAACATGTATGTAGAGAATGTTTCAAAGTCTACTTATGCAAGAAGTCCTTGGAGTTTCTTCATTATAAGTTCCATATTTGAACTAACTTAGAAATTAAAATTATGTCAGATGTCCTGTTGGCCATTCTTTTGACAGTTTGATACATTACAGTCAATGATGACAAACTCTATTTTAGGGAGTGACAATTTCGACCTTGTTGCATATATACTAATATAAAGGCATACACCGTATTGCATCAATATTTTTAGATTCTGGTGATCAACATTTTTGAAAAAAGGAGAAAATTTAATCTGGATTGTGTAAAGAGTTCTTTGTTTAGGATTCAAGGGCATTGTTCTTCTTCTGCCCCATCATATTTGTATTGCCAATTTCGTTCAGGAGTTTTCATAGTTAATTTCGTATGTCCTGATATCTATCTTACCTTCTCAGCAATATGGAGTAGATTTGGAGACGGGTTTTTTGCTATATGGACCTCCTGGTTGTGGAAAAACATTAATTGCCAAAGCTGTTGCTAATGAAGCAGGGGCAAATTTCATACACATCAAGGTCTGTCACTGATTCTATTCTCTTCAATATCTTATTCACCTAATGATTTCTCCCATAAAATTTATGAAATTTTTTACACTGTGAAGGGTCCTGAGCTTCTGACTAAATATGTCGGTGAGAGTGAATTGGCTGTGCGGACGATATTCAGTCGTGCAAGGACATGTTCTCCATGCATACTATTCTTTGATGAGGTTTTCCTTKGCTCTGAAAATTKATTTTGGCAAATTTAAGTCTTAACGATTTGAGCAGGCACAGACGATAGTTTATTTAGCTTTATTTTGAGTCTTCTTCCKTTTTTTATTGTTCCTAAAKATGTACATATTAACTGCATTATAGTTGTTCTGTTTARAGTGCTATATATGTTTATAGYTTTCAAGTTCGACCTGCCCATTTGAGTTACTAAACYGCCCTTGGGTGTCATCCGTTGCATCTGGTCTTTCTCCWMAACCCCATATATCWTGACAAGTGACATTTCATGATTTTGGAGTGTTCTCTTAGTTATGAGAATTTGGAACTATGGAAATAGATGAAAAGTTATGAGGGGAACRGTTTCTTATWTAAAGGTCAAAAGAAGAGAAAGTATATGACTTTTGGTCAAACGAAAATGTAGTTGGGCCTAGCAGTTTGTTTACCTTCCTATATATGTAAAAGGTCAATAGCTCCTTTTGATAGAGTTTATTAACGTATAAAAGTAAATGTTAAAAAAGAGAATAACACTTGTGACATGAGATAGCACCATTATAACTTCGAGAAGCTCTTGAATAGGATGGGAAGTATTACTTGTGTAGTTGTATGCAACAAATGCTTATAATAAAAATGGACTTTAAAAATTGTGATGGCTTATTTAAGCTCAATGGTAAACTTTTGGGATTAATGCCGATGCTTCGTCAATTGTAGGTAGATGCTCTGACAACAATGCGCGGAARGGAAGGGGGATGGGTTGTTGAGCGACTCCTGAATCAGGTTAGCAAAATTTATGCTCATTGTTCATCAGTATCATTCCATCACAGAATTTCATTATGCCTGATTTTAGTGTACTTGAGAGATGACAGCTCTTTATATTTGCAGCTATTGATAGAGCTAGATGGTGCTGATCAACGCAAGGGTGTTTATGTAATTGGTGCCACCAACAGGTGCTGATCAACGCAAGGGTGTTTATCTAAATTATTTATCCACAAAAAATTGATTATAGTGACTGATCTTGTTGAAATGATTCTAGGCCAGAGGTGATGGACCGAGCAGTCTTACGGCCCGGAAGATTTGGAAAACTATTGTACGTGCCTCTGCCAAATCAAGAAGAGCGAGGGTTGATCTTGAAAGCTCTTGCTKGGAAGAAGCCTCTAGATGCCGATGTGGATTTATTTGCTATTGGGCGTAGTGAGGCTTGTGCAAATTTAAGTGGAGCCGATCTTTCTGCATTGGTTTGTACAAGTTCATWTATGCTTTTAACTGATGCYACAATTTAGATGCTTAATTGCTTAGCTATTTTGCAATTTACATGAAATAAATCACGACACATGTTAAACGGAATTGCTTAACGGGATGGGTAGTTTACATTACCCATTTTCATCCTTGCTAATATGATGGCGTTTTCAAGTCGTGTTGTAGATGCCCTGTAAATGATGAGTGTTTAAAATCTTAAGGATTGTGTTCGATTTCGTTTTTAGAAGCAAAGAATCTTGCTTGCATTCCCTATGATTCGACATAACATTTTTGTCCAAATCTCAGATGAACGAAGCTGCCATGGCGGCTGTTGAAGAGAAATTCATGAGATGTGAAGCTGCAACTGCTGCTGCTCKTGAAGGGARATCGGTATCATCACCAGAAAGCTCTTTAGAACATACCATTAAAGCTATACATTTTGAGCAAGCATTGAGAAAAATCTCACCTTCTGTCTCAGATAAGGTAAGACTTGGACCTCTTCTAAGTCATGTCCTAATCTACATCACCATATCATAATCTTCTAAATCATGTCCTAATCTACATCACCATATCATAATCGACAAAAACCCAGAAGATTAATACTATTCAATGAACATTGCACCTAAACCCTAAATCTATAACATTAATGGTTATACAATGAATGTTGTACCTTAACTTTTGTAAAAGGAGGCCCGTGACCTTGTAATATCTGTGTGTTTTGTTGCAGCAAAAAGAGTACTACCATCGGCTGTCCGAGAGCTTTAAAGCAACTTAAACATCGGGGGTATGGGAAGTATGTTCAGGTTACCAACCGACATCGACAATTTTTTTTTCTTGACACCTGTTTTGTTTCAAAACGACGACCCTCGCCCACAACGAAGGGAGGCTTTCATTTTTGTTCTGCAAAATATAGGTTTTAGTCCTTTTATTCTTCTCCTTGCAAAGTATTAGTATGGAGATGACGAATTTTGGTGCATTGACTTTTGGTTATTTCTTTTTGCATTAGCAAATATTTTGGTTGATTAATGGGCTGATGAATTTTTTTCCAAATGTCCGAGCTAGCTTACGTGCAACTCTACTAATCCTAGGAGTCTCAGAGAACTGCCAAGAAAATCCTAAGTGGTCTTGTAGGATACGAACCGGTGAATCCTCAAAGATTGAAGACTTAGTGAAATTTTGTGCGTATACATTACATGAGAGTTGATTTATAACTGACATTAAAATCATTTATTTACTAGAAGACCCAAACTTTAAAATCATTTTGTTTTCTATAATTTCACAATATTAAAAGAACCAGTGTTTTTTAAAGGAAAAAACTAGTATTAATTATTGAAAATATATTTTTAAACAAAAAAGGTAAAATGTATAAAGTTTGTACACCTCCTAAATTATGTCTTCCTTTTCCCACAATCTTTTTTCGTAGTCTATTTACAAAACTTTAACTTATCATGTTTGTTTTTATACGTAAAATTGTAACCTACCGTATTTATCTTTTAATATAATCTCATAATCCACCGTCTTTGTATTCTAAATTAAAATCTATTAAGACGAGAATAATCTCATCAAGAATAGTACATGAATATTCATAAAAAAAACAATACACGTATATTTATATAGGTCAACCGTTTGTATTTAGAACACTTTTATCCCAATATAAATCCTGGGACTGGGAGGAACCGAAAATATTTATATAGAAAGGGGGTTATGCAATTGAAAGATTCAAAACAAGAACTGGGTTCATCTTGAGAGCAAGTATGGCCATGGAAACTCCGGTATCATAGCTGTAAACATCTTTAAAATCCCATTTGTTAAATTCGATTTATGTGATGATGGCTCTGCTTGTTCATTGTTTTTAACCGATTTTCTTTCCACACACCAACTGTTGTTTATATTCCCCGCATCGTTTTCACCTCAAACCTCATATGTTTGATGGAACTGTAACACAAAGTGGGTGTCTTTTTCCTTTTTTCCCTTTCGAACAAGAGGGATTATCTCTAATATGTGATATGTATTTAGGGTTTAGAATCTAGAAATGGCATTGGTCTTGTAATTTCTTGAAGCTAAGAAAACTATAAGGTTTATAGCACCCAGTGGGCTTCAAGACCTAATGCTTCATCAGGTTTTCAAATTGCTAATAGATGCTTCAAGATTTTGACATGATAATTCCATTTTCCCATTCTGGTTGCTGTCAAGTCGTGTGATAAGCCCCTTGGGTGTGTTGCTCGTCAAATATACAACAACCTTAAGTTCGAATCCTACATGATAGGCTTGAACCCCTCCGCTAGCTTCAGCTGCTGAGTGAGCTCTAAAAGGCTCCCTCTGATATGGTTCCTAGGAGGCAGGTTCCATGTGGGGCCGGTTGAGGTTGTCGGTAATCAACCTTTTGCGTAAATCAAGTTGTGCCGTGTGAGATAAGATAACAGTCTGACAAATCCCTATTGAGAATATACGTGGAAATATTAGCATTCTGAAGCTATCTTAGGATGCTGCCATAATTATTTAATTGAAGTTAGTAACCTCTCTTCTTTTCTCAAGTGCTCTTGAGAAGTAATATAATGAGGTTTTACTTATTTTCACATGGTGTCAAACGCCAAGGTAATCTGTATCCATCTTGACACTTCTCAATAGGGCTCTTTTGGAGAGTAATCTAATAAGTTACCTTATATTCGATAGAAAGATAATTACTTTAGTTAAAGGATCTATGTGAATGGCTTCCTACTACTATGCTTCAATCGGCCTTTTTTTGCTCATACTAAATATCAACTTTAAATGCTGTATTTGTCAATACCATTTTGGTTTTAAAATACGTCAAAATGTGCAGCCTGTTGGTCTTAGGTGGGCTTGTGAGAACTTGCTGTGTGGCCCATCAGCTGCATCAAGTGATGTCTTAGAATCGAGCCTTGTCAATGATCATCCTGCAGTCAGGTTTGCGGTGCCCCTCTAATAAATAATAATAGCTTATCATTTTGATTGGATTTTATTTTTATAGTATACCATCAATGGTTATGTTGATTAATGCCTTTTGTATGCAAAGCTGCTATCTGTTTCATCATAGTTCGATTTTGAAGAAAAAAAGTGTCGATCTTGGAAGAAGGAAGTTGAAAGTGTTTGTGAGATGTAAATGGATTTTATCTTTTATGCTTATTTGCCTTTGTTTGGGCTGGTTTTTGGGTTTCATCAATGGAATTTTTCTGTTGCTATGGTCGGCTTGTTCAATAAAAGAAGGTTCGATTGGTTGAAGATTTTGTGAAGAAGACAAATACAAAGGAAGAAAACACATTATACATAAGTACATATTTCCCATTAGAGGGAAGTTCCGTTAAGAACCTAAAATTGATTAGAAACCGCTCACAATGCGCCATGTGTCTCTCTTAAGGATGAAATTCATTATGAATCACACATTCATGATGAATATATTACACCATACATGATGAATAACTCGTCTATATTCCTAATAATTATGCCACATGTCGTGCTGTGGACGGTCTCCGGTTCCTAATGAAAACGTGCCCCTTGTCCATTAATCTTTAAGTTGGAAGTGAACTTGTTTTACTCTTGGATTCGTTCTGACTCTGCTTCATTATATATTCTGTCCTAAAATTTGGTGTTGTGGTGCCATTTAACATCGGCATTTATGTTTAAAAACAGCATGTCGAATACAGAGGAGGAATTATTGACAGATGACATCAACAAAAAGGTTAAACCCTGCTGCACGGAACATTTCTTGAGTCGAGCAGACCAGGACTACATGGAGAAGATAAGGGAGCTTCATGATAGACTTGATATGGTAATGTTAACCACTTTCACTTGTCTAGTTGAAATTTTTGTTACTATTCTTGGTCTTGGATTTTATAGATTTATACAAATCATCTCATAATGATTCTGATAGGAGTTCTTGGAGACGTAGGACCAAGTTAGAAGACTAGGAGTAGGCTTAGTCGGACGGTAGGAATTTGGAGAGGTAGGGTTAGTGAGCTAGCATATAGGCGTCCTGAGCCGTAGGTTAGACTAGGGGTGTGTAGGTCTTGGTATCCTTTTTATGTTTCAATGTTGTTGCTTACTTCTGACCCACTTTTTCAAAGTCTGCCACTACCTTTCTTGTTTTCAAGTTTCCTTTATCCTTTTTCTCTTGCACACTTTGCACGAGTCGGGCTGTTGTGGGTATTCACAGAAACAAACGCTCTACTTCCCTCCAACAAAGGTAATCATGGATTGGAACGTTGGGCAAAAAGGAAATGTTGCATTTATGATGGGTTTTTGATATCTGCAGGTGAAGAAAATAGTGAGACCAGGTTGTTCTTATGAAGTGTTGAACACTGCCTTGAGTTTTATGTCATCACTTGCAGCAATTCTCTCCCAGATGCCCCCACAAAAACTTCATGCATCACTTTGAAGAAAAACCCCTTTCGGGTTCATGAAATTATTGGTAATTTTGCTTTTTTTAGGTCAGTTCAGAATATTAGGAATGTAAAAAAAAGAGAAATTTGATGTTTATGTGTGTACTGGTTGTACTTGTATGTCAGTGATATTTAAAATTTACTGTCATGAAGAATTAACGTAACTTGTCAATTCTTGTTGAGAAAGTAAATATGTTTGAACAAAAGTGATTGCATGTCTGTTGGTTTAAAAACCTGGATATATGAGGTCTCTTGGTCTCTCTCTACAATGAACTAATTTAATGTATTTTAGGGGCCGTTTACCAAACGCTCATCCGGATAAGTGCTTACCAAGTCACATTACCTTACTTGATAAATATGATAAAGACCAAGAATCTTATCTGGTAAGAGGGATACAAGGACCAAGAGTCTACCCAGTAAGTGAAGGTGACGAGTCTTACCATGGTAAGCACTTACTCTGTAAATGTTGCATACGATGCCGTTTTGATGGACTAAAATCTTACGCGGTAAGTATGTGGTAGCGTTAAATTTTACCGGTAAGTGACCCATATCAAATATCAAGTTGAAAAGTTGTCCATTTTGCCCCAAATGCAAAATGTGCAATTTGGAAGAGAGTGCTACTATTCAAGTTGCTATAAACTCAATAATTCTAAGTATTAGACATAAAAAGGCACCACAAGATCAAGAGTAAAGCTACAGGCTGATAATTATGAGATCAAATGGCATAAATAAAGCAGACGAGAAGAAATGGGATGTCAAAATTGATAATGTTTAACTAAAAAGTAGAAAGAACTTGAGGCATTTGTGTAGCAAAGATGTATAACTAAAGAGAAACCGTACGTCTATAAAGTTTTTCATCATCACTCTCGTCTTCCTCATCAGATACCATCTGATCATGATCACCCGAAAGCTCCAACTTCCCACCCATCACAAACGATGGCCCTTCTATTTCCGTCTCAATATAATCCGCATACAATCTCTCTTCAAATCTCTGATCACTACAATTCAAGAACCAAGATAAAGAACTCCTAATCCCCTTATGCTGTAATCTTTGGTACCTTGGTTTGATTCTTGATTCCAGACCATAAGTGAAGAATTCAGGAAACTCTACCAACTCTTTCAATGGCCGTCCCATTTCGCTCTTGAAGAAGTAATAGCTATTCTTCATTATACCAACTTGCAAAGCAGCTAATTGTGGGCATTTCACAATCATCTTAGCCACATCTTCGGTAGAGATACCCCTTCCAACAAGAAATTCAATTGGCTTCATTATCACTTTTTGGCTAAGGCTGACTAGTTGAGGCATTCTCTCAATCACACGAGCAAAACCGTTTGGATCAATCTTAAGCTTCAAATTGAAGAAATATTGTTGGCTTGATAACTTAGCCTTCAAAGGGAGCCCAAGAATTTGTGGGTATTGAGCGATAATGGAAGCAAGTGCTTCCCTTTGAATCCCAAAGCTGATCAAACAATCCACATTTGGTCTAACCATTTCCTCAAGATCATACCCAATAACATACGCCCGTTTCTCAAACATTCTTGCCAATACTTTCTTTGGTAAACCTAAAGAAATTAGATACTCAACCAAAGGTTTGATCATAGTCCCAACTTTCATCCCTAAAAAATATGGATATTGAGTCACCATGGGACCAATATCTCTTGGATTGACCCCAATACTTACCAAATATGCAACAGAAGTACTCATTGTACCTTCTAATTTGAACCCTAATAGCTCAGGATACTTCACCAATACATACCCAATATCTTGTCGTTCGACGTCTAATCCACGAAGAAACCTAATCACTGGCACAAGCTCCACAACTACACTAGCATGAAGAACTTGTGGATATTTCTTCACAAATTCACCCATTCTTGATCTTTGAACTCCAACTTTCTCCAAATATCCCAATACTGGAATGATATTTTTCCTTACACTACAACCAAGCATTAATGGGTATTCATTAATATCATCAATCGTTAACCCGATCTTTTGCAAGAACTCAACACGTTCACGCAATCACATCAACTGTAGAGGGTAGTTCTAAGTCCTCCAATTCATCTGGGATTATGCCTATGGATTTTAAGTAATCACAGATTATTACCCGCGATACAAGTTTTTCTTTTCGGCCTTGAACAACACTCCATGTAACCGTTGGCATTTCATATTCGGGGAATTTGGAGGATTGGGTCGAAAAGGGTTTAAACAATAAAACCCTAAACTGGGGTTCTTGAGAGGGTTTAGGGGGAAAGATAATACCTTTTGATTTGTTGGATGTAAAGTGAAGTGGGTTTATGAGAAATGATTTGAAGGACTGTTTTCTTCGAAGAAGAAAGATCATTTCAGCTAAAGAAGAAGAAATCAGGGTTTATAACTGATGACGAACCACCAAAGTATTTGCGTAAGGAGGGTAATGGAAATTAGGGTTTATAAAAAACGAATCAGAGATATTACATACAGGCTTACCGGTAAGAAAGCTTGATTGCCTCCATGGCTGCGAATGAACACAGTCTGTTTTCGTGAATCGTTCGCAAGCTACCTAGAATTTAGAATTGTAAGGAGGGAGATTGTAATCGTTGAATTTGGTCTTGTATTGTCATCGTTTTTTTATTCATAATAATCATTATATTTGTTAAAACATACTCTTGCGTTTGCGTCCCAAATAAATAGTCGAAATGGTAACGTTTCAAAATGATTAAGTTTTGAACTATTTTTAAAAGAGTAAACTATGATTATGGTGTCTATGGTTTACACAAATCACCAAAAATAGTCCATAGGTTTCAATAACCGCAATAATCAGCTCTACTATTTACATTTTGCATTGAAAGTAGTCACTCAACTTAACTCTATTAATTATTTTCTGTTAAGTTAAAGGTATTTTCGTCTCTTTATTTTTACAAGTGAGAAGTTGTACAATTTTGTTAAAGTACATGGACCAAATTGTAACTTACTCTTTTTATGTTGATATTATATATATATATATATATATATATATATATATATA